TTTTCAGTAAAGAGTAAATGTTTTCACATTTAAACAAGAGAGGAAACACAGATTTCCAAGAGAGCTTTGATCTATTTTTTGAGTAATAATCCCAAACCAAAGAAAGAGTTATGTTTTAAAACTCATGAGCTGAGTGTATTTTGGGAGTAGTATTGAGCACCGATATGGGGGGGGAGAGATCAGATAACTCACAGCCCCCATCAACCATGTAGCCAACGTGGGTAGAAAGGGTCATACTTTTAGATAATTCCTTTTTTTAGTATAGACTAGTGGATCCACTTAATGAGTAGGTATTATACCCTGGCAAAGTATAGGACAGTTCTGGCAGCGTGGGCGAGACATTGTATCATCACATAACTCATAGTGATGGTTGTCGCCTGTCGGTTAGAGAAACTTCCACAGAGATATTTGTATTTTTATATACACAGAGTTTACTTGTATTTCATATATAAACAAAGTTTATATTGTATCCTTGCATACAAACTGAGTATATTGTATTCTTAAATACATTGAGTTGCTTTCTACTGTTTTAAAAGCTTTCCATATATTGCAAATCTTATTGTTACTTTATATTGAGTTGAGTATCCAGAGTTGAGTACCAAGAGTCGAGTGTCTTATCATTGAGTTGATCCTTATTTCACTCAATTGAATATCTTATTATTGAGTTGAGCTTTATTTCACTGAGTTGAATATTTTATCTTTGAGTAGAGTATCTTATTCCTGAGTTGAGAAGAGGAAAGTATGTTTCCTTTTTATCAAGTACAAGCTTATGTTATGCTTTAGAATTCCCCTTATATGCTCGTACATTCCACGTACTGAGCCATTTGGCATGTATCATTTCATGATGCAGATACAGGTATTCAGGTTCATCAATAGGCACTTTGTTTATACCACATATAATTTGAGTAAGCTATGGTGAGCCTCCTTGCTTCTGGAGGATTTCATTTACTTTTCAGTTTTGTCAGGATGTCGTGGGTCTTGTCCCAACTTCTATCTTTGTCAGTTAGAAGCTTCGTAGATAGACTATAGAGTTTGAGAAGTCTGTTTCATTTATCTTATTAAATGTATTAAAGACTCGAGTGCCTATTGTTGGCTAGTTGAATGTATTTTTTTAATTTTGAGTTGTTCATTTGAGTTAAAGATTTGCAAAGTTGAATTTTATTCAGTTCTTAAGCTTTGTGTGCTTGAGTTAGTCTTCCACTTATAGTTAGCCAGGATGAGGGTTCGCTTGGGGACCATCAATGGTTCTCGAGTGTCGATCATGTCCAGGGTGTAGGCTGATTAATAACGTTTCAAAGACACTTTATCAAATTCTAAGTGTCAACGGTCATTAATCAGTATAATAATCCAACTAAATGAGTTGAGGTCGAATCCCACATGGAATGGTACGTGTTTAAGATTCAAGAGTAAACTGTGAATATGTTCATTTCAGCCATAGGAATAGACATTTACGAATAAAAATATAATGTAAATCAGGGGGTGACACGAATGTCAAATAAGGGGGGTTTAGGTTTTCAATTATCAACTACAGCAGCAGCATATAACACAAAGACAACAATAATGAGACGGGTTCTTGGGATGTGATTTGATTATAGGCTAATGTAGACAAATGGGTAATTGCAAATGTTAGAAAATAGTTGTAAATCATGGAATAGGCTAGACTATAGAGGAGGTAGACTTTCTCTCAAACAATTTACCCCGAATCAAGTCGATTTTTGTCGAATATCAATAAGCATGCAAAATAAGAACAGCCTATGCCTTAGTCCATTCACTCTCTCGAGCTTAATGTGTGGAGAAGGGTTTAGGATTCATTATCTCGAGCTGAACCCATGAAAACCCAATACCCACACACCATCAATCAATAATCTTGGTTTTAAAACCTCTCTCTCGAGCAAGCCAAAAATACAAAGGTAGAACTGCAATTGCAACTACAATTCCTTAAATTAAACCACAATTACTAATTGAAATCACTTCTAAACAACATTTAAACTAACAATTAACAATACCCATAAGCTAAATCAGCCCATAAACACATAATCGCATAATCACACCCCAAGAATTGGTGTTTTAGCTATAATTTTGTTATGTTGATTGAAAGGCTGTTTTCATGAAACACTATGAACATGATGTGAAAGGTTTACTCACTTATTAATGATTCTAAGGTTGAAAGGACATTCTCACCTAATGAATCCATGAGCTACCATGATACGATGATGGTTTGAGTGCTATGCATTCTTCCATGAACATGAATATAAAGTAAAGACTTAACATGATTATTAAAGGTAATTAAGCTTAGCACCGAGTGGATAGGAATATGAGATGGAAACCTTATACCTCAGTTAGTCCGGGTTTCTAGTAGCAATCTCCCTATCCCATAACTATGTGCCCACATAGGTCTCTTAG